TGTTGTGTTTGACGTGACTTTATATCGCTCAGTCTTCATTTATTGTTATTACTCACTGAGTTGGAGTACTCACTTTACTCCCTGCACCCCTGTGTGCAGATTCGGGTGCTACAGGTCCTGCTATTGAGGGTTGATAGTTCCAGCAGATCTTCGGAGATTTACTGGGTAGCTGTTTGGCGATTCCCAGCCCAGTGCATTCTCTCTCTATTCTATCCCCTTTTTGATTCAGTTATGTAGTAGTGGAGTAGACTTTCAGACTTGTAGTATTGTTTTAGATGCTCATGACTGGTGACACCCCGATGTCGGGCTGTGTTGGTTTTTAATTCCGCAACTTATACTATAATTTTGGGATATTATTTTTGTTAAAGACTTAGCATTTATTATTCTAATTGCTTAAAGTGAATTGGAAGTACGTCGGCTGTCCTTGTCTTCACGAGAGGCACCGCCATGACCAGGTTTGGGTTTAGGGTCGTGACAGACAGTTACTTGTTTTTTGGCGTCTTAGGGCTATATAACTAGAATTCCGCCCGTTTCCAATATTTTCGTGTACTATATTCCACGCCTTCTGCATGAGCCCGAGATGCCGGACCCGGATCGCCTAAAATTTTACCGGCCTATCATAAACAACCTAAGGAACAATAGTCATCGCCTCATCATGACCGTTATTCATATTTTGGAATTTTAGGATTATAAAACTGGAATTCCGCTCGATTCCTAAATTTTCGTCTGCTACGGCCCACGCATTCTGCATGGGCGCGGGCCACCGGACCCGGATCGCCTAAAATTTTGCCGACCCATAATAAACGACCTATGGAACAATAGTCACTGCCTCGCCATGACCTTAATCATTTTTTGGCATTTTAGGGCTATTAAACTGGAATTTCGCCCGATTTCCAAATTTTCGTGTGCTACAGCCCTCACCATCTGCACGGGCCCGGGCCATCGGACCCGGATCGCCTAAATTTTTCTGGCCCATCAAAAAGGACTTAATGAACATTAGACACCGCCTCGCTAAGGCCGTTTCTCATTTTTTGGTATTTTAGGGCCATAAAATCAGAATTCCGTTTGATTCCCTGATTTTTATGTGGTAGCCCACGACTCTTGCATGGGCTAGGGCCACCGGACCCGGATCGCCTAAAATTGTTCCAGCCTATCAAAGACCTAAGGAACAATGCCACTGCCTCACCATGATCGTTACTCTTTTTTTTTTGCATTTTTGGGCCATAAACTGAAATTCTGTCTGATTCCTAGATTTTCATATGCTATAGTCCACAACTTATGCATGGGCTCGAGGCACCGGACCTGGATCGCTTAAAAATTTTCTGGCCCATTATAAACAAACTAAGGAACAATAGTCACCGGCTTTCCATGACCGTTACTCGTTTTAGGGCCACAAAACTAGAATTTCACCCGATTCATAGATTTTTGTGTGCTATAGCCTACGCCTTCTGCATGGGCCCAAGGCACCGGACCCAGATCGCCTAAGATTTTCCGGCCCACAAAGAAATTACCTATAGAACAATAGTCACCGCCTCGCCATGATCGTTACTCGATTTTAGGCATTTTAGAGCCATAAAATTGGAATTCCGCTCGATTCCCTGGTTTAGTATGTTATAGACCACGCCTTCTGTATGGGCCTAGGCCACCGGACGTGGATCACCTAAAATTTTTCCGCCCCATCAAAAGTGAAATAAGGAATATTAGTTACCGTCATGCCATGACCGTTACTCATTTTTTGGGATTTTAGGTCCATAAAATTGGAATTCCGCCCGATTCTCAGATTTTTGGGTGCTATAGCTCATGCCTTCTGCATGGGACCCAGCCACAGGATTCGGATCGCCTAAATTTTACCGGCCTATCTTAGTCGACATAAGGAATAATAGTCACCACCTCGCCACTCATATTTTGGCATTTTAGGGCCATAAAACTGGAATTCTATCTGATTCCCAAGTTTTTGTGAGCTATGGCCCACGTCACCTGCATAGGTTGGGGCCACGGGACCCGGATCGCCTAAAGTTATGCCGGCCCATCATAAACTCCCTAAGGAATAATAGTCACTGCCTCGCCTTGGCTATTACTCATTTTTTTGCATTTTAGGGCTATGAAACTAGAATTCCGCCTGATTCTCAGATTTTCGTGTGCTACAGCCCACGCCTTCTGTATGGGCCCGGGCAACCGGACCCGATCGCCTTAAATTTTGTCGGCCGATCAAAAATGATCTAGGGAATAATAGTCATTGTCTCGCCATCATCGTTACTCGGTTTTTGGCGTTTTAGGGCCATAAAACTAGAATTTTGCCCGATTCCCTGATTTTTATATGATATAGTCCACGCCTTCAGCATGGTCCCGGGCCACCGGACCAGGATCACCTAAAATTCTGGTCCATCATAAATGACGTAAGGAACAATAGTCACCACCTCGCCATGGTCGTTACTCATTTTTTGGCGTTTTAGTACCATAAGACTAGAGTTTCGCCCGATTACTAGATTTTCGTGTGCTATAGCCCACGCTTTCTGCATGGTTTCGGGTCACCGCACCCGGATCGCCAAAATTTATTTCGGGCCATAAAAATGACCTAGGGAATAATTGTCACCGCCTCGCCATGACCATTACTCGTTGTTTGGCGTTTTAGGGCCATAAAACTGGAATTTCGTCGGATTCCCAGATTTTCATATGCAATAGTCCATAATATTTGCATGAATTCTGGCGTCCAGCCTTGAATGTCCTAAGCTTTTGTGGGCCAATAAAGAACGACCTAATGAACAATACTCATCTCTTCCCTGTGACCGTTCCTCAATTTTTTGGCATTTTAGCGCCATAAAATAGAAATTCAGGATGATTCCCAGATTTTTGTATGTTATAGTCCACGTCATCTACATGAATTTGGCTAACTAGTTCCGAATCTCCTAAAAATTTTCAGGCCCATAAAAAACAAGCAAATGAATAATAGTCATCGCTTCGCCATGACCGTTCCTCGTATTTTTGCATTTTAGGACCATAAAACAGGAATTTAGTACAATTCTAAGATTTTCATATGCCAAAGTCCACGCTATCTACATGAATTCGGTCGACGCACCTCGAATCTCTTCAAACTTTGTAGGCCCATAAAAATGACCTAATGAACAATAGTCATTATTTTGCTAGACCGGTCCTTATTTTTTGTCGTTATAGGGGCCATAAAACATGAATTTAGGACGATTCCCAAATTTTCGTATGCTATAGTCCATGCCATCTACGTTAGTTCGAGCAACCGACTCTGAATCTCCTAAAATTTTGCGGGCCCTTAAAAAATGACGTAAGTAAAAATAGTCATAGCTTCGCCATGATTATTCCTCATTTTTTGGCGTTTAGGGCCATAAAACAAGAATTTAGGACGATTCCTAGTTTTTCGTGTATTATGGTCCACGCTATCTGTATGAATTCGGGCAACAGGCCCCGAATCCCCTAAAATTATGCGAGCCCATAAGAAACGACCTAATGAACAATAGTTATCGCTTCTCCATGACCATTTTTCACTTTTTGGTGTTTTATGTCCATAAAACAGGAATTGAAGAGGACTTCCAAACTTTCTAATGCTATAGTCCATGCAATCTACATGAATTCGGATAATCAGCCTCGAATTGCCTAAAATCATGCGAGCCCATAAAAAATGACCTTATGAACAATAGTCATCGCTTAATCATGACCATTCCTCATTTTTTGGTGTTTTAGGGCCATAAATTAGGAATTCACGACGATTCCATATTCTCGTGTGCATAATCCATGCTATCTACATGAATTCGGGTGACTAGCCCGAATCTCCTAAATTTTACGGGCCCAAAAAAATGACCCGATGAACAATACTCTTCGTTTCACCATGACTGTTCCTCATTTTTGGCATTTTAGGCCATGAAACAGGAATTCAGGACGATTCTTAGATTATGTACTATAGTCCACGTCATCTGCATGAATTCAGGTGACTGACCAGAATCTCCTAAAATTTTGCGGGCCCATAAAAAATAACCTAATGAACAATAGTTTTCGCTTCGCCATAATCGTTCCTCATTTTCTGGTATTTTAGGGCCATAAAATAGAAATTTAGGACGATTCACAGAGTAGTGCTATAATTCACGCTATCTGCATAAATTCGGGCGACCGACCCTGAATCTCCTAAAATTTTGCTGGGCCGTAAAAAGATGACTTAAGGAAAATAATCATCACTTCAGCATAATCGTTCCTCGTCTTTTGGCGTTTTAGGGCCATAAAATAGGAATTCAGGACGATTCCAGTTTTTAGTATACTACAGTCCATGTCATCTGCATGAATCCGAGCAACAGGCCTCGAATCTCCTAAAATTATGCGAGCCCATAAAAATGACCTAATCAACAATAGTCATCGCTTTTACATGACCATTCCTCATTTATTGGCGTTTTATGGCCATAAAACAGGAATTCAAGACGATTATCAGACTTTCATGTGCTATAGTCCACGCAATCTATATGAATTCGGAAGAACGGCCTCGAATCTCCTAAAATTTTGCAGGCCCATCAAAATGACCTAATAAACAATAGTCATCGTTTCACCACGATTGTTCTTCGTTTTTTGGCGTTTTAGGGCCATAAAACAGGAATTCGGGACGATTCCTAGATTTCCGTGTGCTATAGTCCACGTCATCCGCATGAATTCGGGATTGCTTTATATTCGCTCTACTTGAACTTCCTTTACTCGCGATTGCTTTCGGTCAAAAATGGAAATGATAAAGCTTATTAAAATTTCTAGGAAAAATGCATATAGCTAGATTGATCTTTGCTTATCAGGAAAATATAGCGGATAACTACACAAAAGTCAATCAAATTAAATAAAAACACTTACTACCGGGCCAATAAATGTACAACACTCTTAGAGAGAACAGTACAATACATAATTAAGAATCACTCAAAACTTCAAAACGACAAATAAAGAAAAAACAAACGGTAGGCACCACACAACATAAAACAGGTAAAATATAAGAATCCGCAAGATCAGTTGGTTGGAGGAGGTGAAAGTGTAGGAATGGTTGGGATATTGGGAATGCTTGGAAGTGAAGGCATGTTTGGAATAGGATTCATAGCAGGCATTGGTGGCAGACTCATCTTCGGAAGAGTGGGCAACGTAGGCAAAGAAGGCAAAGGTGTTGCGGTTGGAAGTGTTGGCAATGGTGGCAATGTGGCTGCTGTTGGAAAGTTGGGAATTTTAGGCAACTGCGGCATTGTTGGCTGAGGCAATGACGGTATTGTAGGCAAGTTTGGAAGTTGCAGTAGGTTGCGAGCTGCATTGCTTGTGTTGATGCTTGATAAGGAAAATAATGCTATGATCAAGAAAATGATTAAATAGTTGCGGGAGGAAGCCATTGTGTTAATTTGATATTGTTTTGTTTCAAGAAAATGAAGTAAATAATAGAAGTTGGAAGTTCTGTTTAATTTGAGTGAGTTTGTTCATTTACTAAAGAGGTATATATAGGGAAAAGTTGTTGAAAAACTAGCAGGATTGTATGTGATGTTTGGTGTGGAAACATGAAAACTCTCTATTGTTAGTTCACCTTCCTAAATGTTGATTTGAGGATGCACAAATTTTTTAAGTCAATAATATTCCGAAAGTAGTTATACATAGATGAAGTTCGGATCAACCATATTTAATATAAAATAGCACAAAGTATTTTGTTATTCATATACAAAATATTCTAAATCGTATTGTTTTGAAACCATTGTTCAGAAAGAGGGTGAATGAATTAAGGTAGGAATAGAAAAGGGGTTAAATAATTATTATGAAGAGAATAATATTCACATGCAGTGATGGTAAGCCATTTTTCTTCGGCAGTTAGGAAATGATATTTCATGAAAGCATATGTAGTAATGATTCAGGGGCGGTCCAAGGACATGTGTGGCCTAAATTCAAAGTTTAATGCGAGCTCTAAATTTTTAAAAGAATATTATGATACAGTATATATTTTTATTTAAAGTCTAATTTTCTAGCTTTTTGAGATGCAAAGTTGTTAATAATTTTTTTATAATCGATTTCCTCTAATAATTCATTTTCAATTGATAGTATAGCCAATTTTTAATCTTTCTTGAGACATTGTTGATCTTAGGTAAGATTTTATCAATTATAATTTTGATAAACTTATGTTTTTTTTGAGGCAACTATTATAGAAAAACTCTACTTCTGTACAACAATAACAACAACCAAAAACCCAGCTTAATCAAATTTTATTTTTAAATACCTACTCCCTCCGTTCCAGTTTACGTGAACATATTTTCTTTTTGGTCCGTTCCAAAAAGAATGACCCCTTTCTAAATTTGGAAACAATTTAGTTTAAGCGTACAATTCCACCCTTAATGAGCTTTTATAGCCACACAAATACTCTGGACCCCTTTTTGACTTGTTTAGGACCACAAATTTCAAAAGTCTTTATTTTTTGTAAAACTCCGTTCCCAATCAAAGAGATTCATATAAATTGGACCGGAGGGAGTATAAACCTATTATTTCTACAAAAAAAATGGGGTCCCCAAATTTGGGGGCGCAAGGCACAAGCCTTATTTGTGATAACCTTAGAGCCAGCCCCGAATAAAGTCAATTAAAATATTAAAAAAAATTTCATCAATTAGTGAACTAATTGTTCGCCAAATATTCTTGATCCAAACTTCATCTATGCATAACTGCTTTAAGAAAAATTATTGACTTAAAAGTAGTGCATCTGCCCTCAAACCAAACATTTTCGAAGGCGAACTAACAATATGGAGTGTAGTCCCCATGTTTCCACACCATCTTATTCAATCCTTGTAGAACTTCCCCTATATATACATACCCTTTAGTGATAATCAAACTCAACTCAAGTCAAAACACAACTAAATTTCCTTGGAAAACAAAGCAATCTATCAAATTGGAACAATGGCTACTTCCAGCAACTGCTCAATCCTTTTCTTGATCATAGCATTATCCTTTTCAAGCATGATCAGCACAAGCCTTGCTGCTCGTAGCCTACTACAACTTCCAAACATGCCAACAATACCGTCATTGCCTCA